TCCCCCTCAGCACAAGGGAGGGAGCAACACGCTGGGACGGATCCAGGGCGGGGGCACCGCCATGGTCGGGGTTTCAGCGCTTGATGTGTTGAAGAGGCCGGAGCGTTTGTTCAACTTGAAAGAGGAGAAAGCGAAGGGGGAATCCGCTGGTTTTACCTACCTGGGAAAGGTTTTAGAGATAACGGAGCCAAACTCTACTCGGAACACAAGAAAAAGAAGCCCTACGCTGTAGCTTCCATCCCCTCTACCTCAGATTGTTTCATTTTAGTCTTATTCCTACTTTTCTAAATCCAAGTAGCAAGAAAACTCCTGTTTCAGTTAGAAAATGAATCTGAAAAAGGGAACTAAAATTATTTTAGCATCCCACTTATTGAATAAGAAGATACAAAGCTCTGATCCCCAGGACATAGGTGCGGTCAAATGATAGGAGACAATTTTCTTGCTTGTATCCCACCATTTTTTTTCAGCCTGTCCAGTGTAGATGCTACTTAGACCTTTTCCCAGCTGCCTGTTTTTCTATCTTTTTTTCTTCCTTTTCTAAACTGCTTCTCTAACACTGCACCAGTATCCAAAACAGTCAGGAAGAAAACCCTTTGTTCACATAGTTTTAATTCTTCAGCAGAGTCCTAGATCTTTGTATCTAATGCGTGAGGGTTTTTATAGTTTATGTTTAACACAAATCAAACAGTTTTAAACATGGTTTAATTGACCTGAACACTGCAAATGAGGGATCTTTCCCCCTCTGTCTTCTTGTAATTCAGTTTGAAGAGAAGAACACAGCAAGGATACTTTTTTTCCTCTCTCAGTTACTATTTCTTGATTTCTCTTTTCACAGATTGAGAAGCTGAAGCAGGAGCTGATTGATTTGAAACAGGAAGCACAAGAAGAGACGAAGAAGCTGGTGAATGAGCTTTCCCTTTGTCCTCAGAACAGTGGGATCTTTTGAGCAGGCTGAAAAGTAGTTCTGATTTTAGCATAAGGAACAAGCTAGGGTAGTTAACTGCTACAGGCTGTAAAAATATTGCATGAAGAAAGAACTTGAAAAAAACAATGATGTTGTGGGAATTATCCCATGACTGTAGTGCTATTTCAGGTAGTAGTAGGAATATTTTATAGCATTGGAAATAGTATTAGGAACCAGCTGGGTAACGGTGAGGCCAGAGGCACAGCAAAAACATGTTTCATTTTTACTGAGATAAACAATAACTACTTTGAATTTTTTTATAATCCTCCTTCATTCATTCCTGTGGAACCAAAAATTCTTAACAAGAACTGAGAAAATTATTATTTGTTGATCTGGCTTCAGTAAGAAACAGAACTGTGTTCATCTGCACTTTAAGACAGTTATCTCGCATCAAGCAGACTCCACAAGGAACTTTCACCCTCAGATTATAAAGGGCAGAAAAGGCTACACATGATAGATGTGGTGGGCCAACCTTGGCTGGATGCCTTGTGTCCACCAAGCCAATCTGTCACTCCTCCCTCCTCAGCTGGACAAGGGAAGAGAAAATACGATGGAAGGTTTGTGGGTTGAGATGAGGACAGGGAGATCACTCAGCAATTACTGTCATGGGCAAAACAGACTCGACTCAAGGAAATCAATTTAATTTATTACCAATCAAATTGGAGTAGGATAATGAGAAATAAAACTAAATCTTAAAACACTTTCCACCCATCCCTCCCTTCTTGCTGGGCTCAACTTACAATTTCTCTACCTCCTTCCCCCAAGTGGTGCAGGGGAACAGGAAACAGGGGTTCCGGTCAGTTCATCGCACGTTGCTTCTGTTGCTCCTTCCTTCTTGCACTCTTCCCCTGCTCATGGGGTTTCTGTCATGGGAGACAGTCCTCCACAAGCTTCTCCACTGTGAGTCCTTCCCACAGACTGCAGTTCTTCACAAATTGCTCCGGCATGGATCCATTCCATGGAGTGCAGTCCTTCAGGAACAGACTGCTCCAGTGTTGACTTCCCATGGGGTCACAGCCTCCTTCAGGCATCCACCTGCTCGGGCGTGGGGTCCTCCACAGGCTGCAAGTGGATCTCTGCTCCACTGTTAACCTTCATGTGCTGCAGGGGGACAGCCTGCCTCACCACGGTCTTCTACACAGGCTGCAGGGTTATCTTTGCTCCAGCTCCTGGAGCACCTCCTCCTTCTTCACTGACCTTGGTGTCTGCAGAGTTGCTGCTCTCATTCCTCTCTTCCTACTGCAGTTGCTGTTGTGCAACAGTTTCCCCCCCTTCTTACAAATGTTATCACAGAGGTGCTACCACCATTGCTGATGGGCTTGGCATTGGCCAGTTGTGGGTCCATCTTGGAGCTGACTGGCATTGGCTCTGTTGGACCTAGGGGAAGCTTCTGGCAGCTTCTCACAGAAGCCATCTCTGTAACCCCCCCTGCTACCAAACCCTTGCCACGCAAACCAGATACAATGATATTATGGATGTTGCTTCAAACTTATTATTAATTTCTAGACTTGTTATTTCACTAGACGACAGCTTCTACTGCATTTGCAGCATTTCTTCTAATGATTAATTCCTTGTGTATTTTAAAACACTGCAACTCAGTATATTTTCAGACATCCAGTTCTGTGTGCTCTGTCTTTTATGTTATAATATGTGATGATTAGTTTCTCTCATTTTGCTTTCTTCTTACTGGGAATTTCTAATTTGCAGGTAGATTATTATGCCCAACAAATAAAAGAACTGGAAGATAAATTTCAGGAAAAAGTCAGAGAAATTGGACAAATTCAATTAGAACGGAAATTAACAAAGGAGTTCCGCCAGGAGAAAGCAGCTATGGAGAAAGAGCTGGAAGACGTAAGTCTGTCATAGACATGCATTTGCAATATTTATTTAAAGAGCAACTTTGTGTGGCAACATAATTTGGGAGTGGAGAACAGACATGGCCAGTCTGCTGGATTCTTTTCTTTATAGTTTACAGAGTGCGAGGAAAAAGCACTAGGTTGATAAAATGCAAGATCTGTAGCCAGATCTCACTTCTGTAATGGTCCAGTGCTGTAGGGTTGGTTTTGGTTTTTTACACGCTAACGTGGAATTGTACAAACATATCTGTGGATGGACTAGAGCATCTGGTACACACTTTAAAGATACATATGGAGGAGCTGGCAATTGACTATAAGCAGAAGTCTGATTGATTTCTTGCTAGTCAGCTCAGTAAGGATGTGAATGCTAGTATTGTATCATGCTTTCAACCCCATAAGCCATTTAGAATATAAATGGGAAAACTAGGGACTGTCTGTCACCAAGCACTTATACAGCACATGACCTAATCAGAGATACTTTGGAGCTGTAACACAAGTACCAAATAGTGGTATTTCCTGTAAAAGACTTTAGCCTGGGATAAGAAAGTATCCCAGCTGACTGATGACATGAAAAATGTGCCTTGAGCAATTCAAGTGCCTTGCTGACTCATCTCTACTGGAACTTTTTTCAGCCACAAGAAGGGGCTAACTAACAACACCAAATGCTTTCCATGGAGACAAATGATTGGTCAACAGCATTTGGATTATTAATATAGCACTGCTCTTAAGCTAAGCTAATAAATGTGAGTTAGGCATTTTTCAAAGAACACTTGAGGCATTGTACTTTGAATGATCTTGATGACTGAATGAATAGATAAAGTAAAGCAGATTTCTAAAACTGAGCATTAGAGTGACAAAGTGTGTGTGAATGACTGTCAAAGCTGTGAAAATATGGGCACAGGTGAATGATGAAGGGGAAGCAAAGCAATAATACAAGGCAGAAGGTTAAGAAAATTTTATAGATTGTATAAAAATTTGATGAAGACTGTGGGTAGTGCCAGGAAAGACTACCAAATTCCTTCTTGAAGAGTACATCCACACTATTAGTTATATGGCTAAAATAAAATGCCATTATTAAAGAAATTCTATTTTTTATCATAGTTAAAAGAGAGTATGGAGATTTCAAACAGGAGACATCAGGAAGTGGTTGAGAGATTGGAGAGGAGGTTTCTTGAAGAAAAGGTAAAGACTGACAGACAGTTAAAAATCTGATTTCTCCCATTGACTACTCTGGTTTATGAAGTTTTCACAGTTCTTTACTGAGAAATTTTCAATTGCCCATGTCAACACAAGTGGGATGAATGAGTTGGAGTCTAGGTGCAGCTTTCCAAGGAAAAACATGGGATGTCAGGATCCCAAAAAGGCCATGTTCTCCACTTCCATCAGAACTTCAGTGCCCTTGGGGGTTCATTCTATCACTAGCGAGAAGTTGAGTGAGCTGAAAACTGTGGGTGTGATTTTAGAATTTACACTGTTTCAGATTTTAGCTTTGGTGCCACGTCTCATGCAAAATTTAAACAAGCTTTTCTCCCTTTCAGAAAAGACTGGAAGAAGATGTTGAGAAAAAGCTAATAATGATGGCAGAGACCACCCAGCATGAGGCTGTTTTGTAAGAAACACTTGCTTTTCCCATTTTCTACTTTACAAAACCATTTTATTACTGTGTTCTAAATAACAAGTTGCCTATGTTACTACATGGGCTTTAAAGGGCAAAATCAGTAATGACCTAGGCTGTTTTTATATTTCAAGTGTCAAGATGATGTCAGCACTTACATTTAAACTGTAAGACTCATGCTGGTTCCAGGGGAGAACTGAAGGTAATATTGTCATAACTGTACCACTATTTTCTTTGTTCTCTCAGTTCAGATGGAGGACTAGAAGCAAAGCTGTGAAAACTTGGTACAGACCTGTAAGAATTTTACAGCTTAGCTCTGAAATTAGGACACTGAAGTATTGATTTTAATGTTAAAAAAGCAAGAAAGGCGGTGATTAAAGCTCTTGGATTTTGTTTCCCTCTGTGCAGGCAGCTGAACAGCACTGGGAGAGAGATGTTTAAGGAGAATGTTCATCTTCAAGGTGCATTTGCTAACTGTCTGAAAGAAACCATGGAATTGCAGAAAATCAAACCAAAGTCAGAAGAGGACATAACTCTTCTGTTACAGGAGAAGGTTTCTGCTCTGATTTTAATTCTATTTCATTCTCTTCCAGGAAGGGGTATACAGATCAGTATACAGATGTAAATTTACTGAGACTAACCTCTCCCTGATCTCTGCAGTTATTGGATTCAGAGTTGTCTGAAGAAGAGCTCTTATTGTATCTTAATTATGGAGGGGAAAGAAGGAAGGGTTTCCTATGCTAGTGCTTAAGAATAAGTCTCTCTCTAATGTATACTACATACCAAGCTTTCTTTATCTGGCTTCTCTTGTAAACAAAAACCTGATCCCAGAGAATCATTCACTCTCCAGTGTGAAGATGCCAGCATGTTTACTAGATTGTCAGTACTGAGAGGAAAAAAAAAAATAACCCTCTAGATTTGGTGCAAATGAAATAAAAGCCCAAATAATTTCTTCTCATATTTTAGGAAACCAATGAGGATTTAGTTCGAAAAAAAATCCTACAGATCAGTCACCAGAAAGAACAGATTAGAGATCTGCGGCGTAAAGTGGAAAAGCTGGAGATGGCCTTATGTCGCATGACCAGAGAATCTGTGAGAGAGACTCAGAAAACACAGCAGCAGGTGCTGATAGAAAACCAGGCAAGCATGGTGGAGATCAAGAAACTGCAGCAACTACTAGAAATGAAGGATCGGGAGATGAACCGAGTGAAGAAACTAGCACGGAATATCTTAAATGAGAGGACTGAGGTGGAAAGGTTCTTCCTAGATGCTCTGGAACATGTGAAGCAGGAGATCATATCCAGTAGAAAGCACTATAAGAAAAAGGCCCAAACTGCTTATTACAGAAAAATGATGGAGGCATGTGCAGGGAAGGAAGAATTTCCCAAAATCAAAACATTCAAAAGCAACATAAATAGCACAAATAGTGTGTACAGAGACCTAGAGGAAGCAGAGAAATGCTACTGGTATTGAAACATCAGAAACTAGTGTCTGTCTTCCTAGCACACCTGAAAAAAGCCTTTGTGTGATAATATAATCTAGATTTGGAATGCTTGTGGAAGCTTCTGTAGTGAGAATAACTGTATGAGGTGTAATATCCTACTGATTAGTAATGACTTTGTGGGCACCTAATTTCAACTAAACTATCACTTTTTGGTCATTATTTCTATGGTTGAAATTAAAGATAAGCTCTAAAGAATTCTTTGCATATTCTGCCATGTGCTGTGGAATTTGATACAGAACTTCCAGTATAGATGTGCTTCTGCAGTTTTCTTTTAATAATTATTGTTGCTTTTCTAATATTTTTTGTTTTATAGGCATTGCTTTTCTGGCATTGCTGTTTTGCTTTTTTACTCACTCCAGTGAGCTAACAACACAGAAGCCTAAAAATTACGATAAAGATGGTAGCAGCTCATTACTATGTTGCTGATCATTTTAACAGAAACATCCACTAGATGGCAAATTCAGTCTTTTTTTCAGCTGTCCTTCCCTGTGTCAGAAGCCCCTGCTTTGCATTGTGCTTTCAGAAGTTGTTTTCCTCAAGCTTCATAATAATCTAAAAGTTAACCCATTACATGAAATAGACACTGACATATTGAAAACGAGATCACATGAAGTACAGTACTGATTGACAGATTATGTTCTATAGTGACTAAAACAAAATCTTGGATTTATAAGTGTGAGTATCTCAGAATTTGTATTAGGATGCAGTTTAGCTTAAATTAGGGCTACACATGCTGCAGTGGCCAGGAATACAGGTTTCCAACCTTCTGCTAGAGATCTGTGCCTACAAACTGCAACAGTGTCCAGGCACTTGGATTTTAAACCATAGAGTTAAGGTCTCCCATAGCTGCAGCTTGTATACCTCCTCGGTGAGAGGCCAAAATTATCCTACTTCCAAATAAATTGCTTAGTATGCATTGGCTATTGAATAATTTGGTGACACATAATCAGTCAGAATGTTTTGTTCAGTTCAGGTTATCATCTCTCAAAAATGATACAGCAGAAACACTTAATGAAAAATCAGAAGTGAAAGTAGTTACTGAGATCTAAGGAAGCTTCTCCTTGGAGTGAGAGAAGGTAGAGAGTGGAACCGAGAATGAAAATTGGTGATATGTATTGACCCTTTAATGTATGAACAGCAGAAGCAAGGGAAGGACAGTGTACTTGACACTAATGCACATTACTACTAACCCTCCCCCTTCCAGTATTTATAACCACTACACGTGTTACCAGAAATCATTGCCCTGTTTTTCTTAGAGAGCCCTAGATTTAGAAGCTGAAAAGACAGCACCGTGTGCTTAGTTTTATTTTTTGAATTTACATGCTACAAAGAGCTGAACAAGAGCAATGCGGAGCTAGAATTTAAAACCTGTTTTACACATATAGAATCCATGAGAAATATGCCTTTGAAGTTTTCTTCTAATACATTGATCTTTTCTGTGTTTTTCAGGGAAAAAATCCGGGTTGAAAAAGTGGATATCAGTGACTTGACATGGGAACAAAAAGAACGTGTTCTGCGATTGCTCTTTGCCAAAATGAATAGCACAAATCCACGGTAATACTGTTTCTTCAGTAGGTGAATGTTGAGCTTTTACAATGTTGAGTTACAAGAGCTGGGCTGATAACTCCAGGTCAGGGGATTCCAAGAAACTCTGAATCTAACACAAAAATCTAGTTAACTGTGTGGCTTGGTGTGAGACACTTCAATCTTTTGGAAAAGGTGATTAAACCTTTTGAAAAAGTTGATGTACTGTATACTAATTTTGGACACGCACCAGATTATACTGTTAGAAGTTTGTATGCAGTATCAAAAGAAAAGCAAGTGGAAGTAAATTTTGGTAGTGCTGAGGAGGGCAGAGAATTAACTTTGCTCAGTGCAATGGGATTAATTTTGTTCAGTCATTAATAAATCCCTACCCATCTTTACCAAACAAGTAAATACCGTCTATTGTGACAGCAGCACATCTCACATATATTTCCTTTTGATAAGAGCACCATAAAGCAATCTGCCCAGTATGGAAAAGTACAAATATCCACAACCAGATTATTAAAAGTGTACTTGCCCTATGGCTCATTGCTGTCTGTGTAAGAAACTTGGGAGCATGACTTTAGAGATACCTAAAATATGGCTTACACTGGAAATTCAAAGTTCAAACAGCATTAAATATATTATAAGCTGTGAACTGGGGCATAAGAGGCCCCAAAGAGAAATCTAAAATGCTACTATTTTTAATGTAGTTTGGGGAGACCTAATGCTTAGTGTGGAATACCAGCTTCTCTGTGTTAAAAGTTTATTTAATTTTTGAAAAATTAAGTTTAAATTTTGTTAGCAAAAGTTACATTAATGAATTTTAGCAAGTTTTGTTAGGTTATTACAGTGGAAGTAAGAAATGTATAATTAAATGATTCATCCATCAGCTTTTACGGTTCCAATTTATGCATGGATTTAACTCTTTTTATCAGTATCTGCCAACATACAAGAGCACATATAAAGCTGCAGAGTATGAACACTTCTCTGCTTGAAGAATGGAATATAAACACTTCATTTTAATTTCACTTATGGTTAAACCCAGTTTAAACCTTATGTTTGTTTGTTTTTCCTCATTCCCTTTTAATTGTAATGATTTTGCCACAAAACACAGGATTCCATAGAGAACTGAACTCGTGTTTGATTCACAGTGCTGATTTTGGGGAGTGCACTGCAATAGCTCAGGTGCCCTGGCATTTCTTGCTTGCTGTTCTGTTGTTTTAGAAAACAAGTTTGCTGTGGGATTAGAAACCTGGCTGAGCGTAAATCACTGTTAGCTGAGGATTACTTTGTTCTTGTGTCTTCCTCACAGGAAATACACCAGCATTTTGGCTGCTTCAGCTTCAGCTCCTGACGATACTAAAGAAGAAAGCAAAACTGGGTAAGATACTAAATTATACCACGCTACCTACCATCTCGTCAGTCCTGGTTAGATATAAATGGATGCAGTTGTCTCTGTCACCCCTCCCTCTTTAGCATACTTTGGTTTGTCTGAAGATCTGTATCTATACAAATAAAGGTATGTGTGACAAGAGAGAGGAATTTTTTATTTATTTTAAAATTTCTGGTCATGGTGATCCTTTAGCAGCAGGTATTTAGACTTAGCTCTCATGACAAAAACCCCAAAGATCTCATGCCCCCTTAAAACTTCCTCTTATTGAAAAGCAGCTTTATTATTTTTGGAGGATTCTCTGGTGAAAGGCCATGACTATACAAGGAGATGCATTTTCAGCTAGCACAGGGAGTTCTGATTAAAAGACAAATCTATTAAGCTGTTTGTGTTCAGTATAGAATCATTTAAGAGAGAATGAGCCAGGATGAAGATTCCTATGTCTGATTTTCAGATACAGACCCAAATACAACTATATAGTTAATTATAATTCTCCCAGGCAAGCAACATCGACTTACCCTGAAGCAGTAAGTGTGGAGGGGCTCTGGCATCATGGAACATCATGTCAGACATGAGGCAGTCAAGCACACAGAATAAAACGTAATACTCAGACATCATTACATGGACCAGTTAGAACAAGTCCAGAGAAGGGCCACCAGGATGATCCGAGGGCTGGAGCACCTCTCCTATGAAGACAGGCTGAGAGAGTTGGGGCTGTTCAGCCTGGAAAAGAGAAGGCTCCGGGGAGATCTTATAGCAGCCTTCCGGTACCTGAAGGGGGCCTACAAGAAAGCTGGGGAGGGACTTTTCATAAGGGCAACTAATGACAAGACAAGGGGAAATGGGTTTAAACTGAAAGAGGGGAGGTTTAGATTAGATATTAGGAAGAAGTTTTTCACTGTGAGGGTGGTCAGACACTGGAACAGGTTGCCCAGAGAAGCTGTGGATGCCCCCTCCCTGGAAGTGTTCAAGGCCAGGTTGGATGAGGCTTTGAGCAACCTGATCTAGTGGAAGGGGTCCCTGCTGATGGCAGGGGGGGGTGGAACTAGATGATCTTTAAGGTCCCTTCCAATCCAAACCATTCTATGATTCTATGATCAAATGACCGGATAAAGTTCCTAAGCAGGAGCCCTGGAGGGGCTTATGTATCTCTCCAAAGGAGAGGCAGACTGGCACTTCCAGAAACAGGAGTAGAAGTGAGCTGTAGCACTTTCTTTTTTTGCACAGACACGGAAAAATAACAGAAGTGTAAGTCACAGGGCCCAATTCTCAAAGGTGGTTAAGCTATTTTAACACAATTTTTGGATTAAGTGTTATCAAATAGCTTTGAGAATCGGGACTGCAGTGCCGTCTAGACAAGCAATTTTTAATAGGAGACAAAAGCTTGACTACAAAATTGTATTTTAATAGAATCTAAGGAAATTTATGATGAGATACTTTATACTTAATTATACTTTTGTATAATATAGAAGATATCTTCTTTAGCTTATTTTTTATAGTGAATGTTGAAATAAAAAGGAGAATAAGAAGGTGAGTGAAAAGCAGTAACAGCAGTGAGATGCAGGTACATCATGATCAGTCAGCATCTGCAGCTCGATCTAAAAAGGCATTTCATTAACTAAAAAAGGCAGATACAAGATTTGTATTTCTAGTACAATTATTTAAAACCATCTGTTTAAAAAATGCTGTTGGAAATGCAGATAATCAGAAAAGATGTTTGCACACAAGTGAAAAGATCAGACAAGTGTCTAGAACAGGTCTGGAGAAAGTGCAGGGATACTCCTGCAATTCTTCAGGAAGCAGGAAGGCTTGATAATAAAGCCTGATTCTGTTACAGGAGCAGCTGGATTTTAAGAATTTCTACAGAAAAGAAATAATGGGTTTTAATAGGACAACAGAAAAGTCAGAATAGCAATATTGATTAGGAAGAAAATTAAGGTGTTTTGGAAGTGAATGACTGTAGACAATATCAAAGGCTGTTGATTAGTACTCCTTTCCCAGGTGCACAAATGAATGCCAATGTCTTAATGGTGATTTACCTAGAATATTTTACCTTAGCAGCACTGAAAATACTTCTCCCAACCTAATATTCATTACACAGCACACAAAATTATCCGATTCATCATCTTCTGCAGTAATGTTTCCGCACATTCAGGTGTTAACACCAGAGACAGAGTAAGGCAGCTTTTCATTTTGCATGAACAACAGCCACAGCAATTACAGACTCATCTGCTCTTTTCATTTTGGAAGTTATCTTGTTAGCAAAGCTGCAAATACTAAATCCCCTGCCTGCTGCTGCTTTGACTACATGTTTGAAATCCATCTGAAATATAGTTATTTTCCTCCTTCTTAAAATACAGATTTTAATCTTTCCCAAGCCAGGAGCTCAGATGACCCTGTACAAAGCATAGTGGTGCCAGTGGATTTGGACTAGTGGTTATAGCTCTGTATATATGTGTTGCTATAATTTGATGAAGAAATATTTTCAGTTTATAATAAAGTAATTTACTCAAAGCTTAAGAGTTTTTGTGATGAAATGACAGGTATGTGGGAACAGAAACAAGGCATTCCTTGAAATGCCGTATGATGAAATTGGTACAGAGGTCCCTGAAATGCTGTAAAAGGAAGATGTATAAATGGGTTACTGGAGTCACAGACCAGCCTCTGCAAAGAGGGGAATAAAGTCAACGTCACACCTATATAATGTTTTACCAAGGAACAGTCATATTCTGCAGAAATGTATTAGCATGTTTTTAATTCATAATCAAATTGCAAGGTGAGAATTTCCCTCTAGGGTATAGCAAAGGAAAAAACAAGATATAAACGTTAGTGAACCCAGCAATTGCATTAATACATAACTGTCAGTTACAAGGTCTCTTTACCAGAAGGCAGGATACCAAGTGTTCACATTCAGGTTGTTTGATTAGAACAAGTAATGGTTACAATCATTAGAATAACATTATTTTCCATGGGTGCTTGAATGAGTTCCCTTGCAGATCCCTCATGGCTGCACCATCTTTCAGGAACCAGAAATAAAAATACATGTTCTCCAGCTCCAAACGCACAGATTCTTAAAAACAGGGTATACCAAGTCTTACCCTTCTCTAATAATGGGACCTGCAGTCCCTAGAGAACGTGATTCTGTTTGAGCAGTGACTCTGCTTGAGCAAATAAATGTGACAAGGAGTCAATTAATCAACACAAGAAATACAGCCATAGTCAGGAAAAGAAACCAATGGAACAAGCCTGGCTGCTTTGTGATTTAAAACCATGTTCTTTCCTTCTACTGACCCATCTATTTACCCTCTCTTCTACCCAGACCCACATGATGCTGTGATGTGAAGATACAACTACATACTTACGTTTCTGCTTCCCCAGTTTCATTATGTTACAAGACCTTTAGGCATAAATCTGTAAAAAGGCACCAAACAACTTCCAGGTATAGTGGAACTGACAGCAAGCTGGAGAATACAAGCCACATGCACAACAGGAACGGAAGTTTTCAAGCTGTCAGAGGCATGGTGAAGGTCACTCTTTCATCCTCAGACATGCAATCAAATATACTTTCCTGAAAAATCCTTAGAAAACTATTTCCCAAGTGTTTTGGAAACTGCTCAACAGATGAAAGACTGACATTTTCAACTCCCAAACTCGCTGTCTTCATAGTATGTAAAGTCACTTCTATGAGACACCCAAGGTGTCCCAGTTATGTCACTCAAAATAAGTACTCATCTTTGAGTAAGGTGAACTCAAAATCTTAACATGTAAGATAAAGAGGTAAAGAAAACTGCTACAAGATGTAGCCAGGAGTGAGTCACTAAGGCTAAAGACACCGAAGGGGAAACCAGAGTAATGTTCAAGTTCAAAAGGTCTGGAAGAAACACAGATTAAGACCAATCTCACTGTCTGCCCTTTCAATTAGGTAAGGTTGTTTCCTCTGTGATAGGTTATAGGAAAAAAATTGAGTTCAGCTAGCCAAAACACTGACAGCAACAGAAAACTCACACTGTGCGTCACATGAGCCTGCCTGATCTGCACAGAAACAGAGGCCCTTGAGAAAACTGATCTTCCTGTTAATTCCCAAGGAAATGATAGTCAGTACAAAGCTGGAAAGTGCAGCATAGAAGGAGAAGGGCACCAGGAACAGCATCTGTAAAGGCTGATTTAGTTTCCCATAGTTGGCATAACCACAGCAGGCTTGGTAACGGTGGCATCTTCCTCTTTCCACTGAGAAATGATTGTTTTCAGCTGTGTGTAGAACTGCACTCCCTGGAAGAAAGGAGAGACACAAGGATCAGATGTTTGGCCTTAGGAATTCTTTGGGTCTGCACCAGTGGTGTGTCAAGCAGTTTTTGATATATCTACAAGGGTTGAGTTTTCCTCTGTGGGAACAATTCCTGTCAGTCTGTTCATTTTACCAGCTCCCCAGAGATTCTGGTTCTGTCAGAAATCTTGCTACTTAGTTCTTCCTCTCTTCTCAAATATCCTAAAAAAAGATTTGCTTTTTTATATCAAAGGAAAAAAAAGGAATCAGCTATTGTAACATGCATTATGGTGGCTGTGATCACTGTCTGGTCTTCAGTTTCCTGGTTGAGACGGCTTCAAAGTCTCCCTACTAATGAGGTCTGATGACCATCTCCCCATTGCCATTTATAACGTGATTTATCACAATTCAACCCAATAGAGTACTCTGAAAAAATTACCTGCTTGCCATAGAAATTGGTGTCTCCTCTGAAAGAAGCACGAGAGCCAGTGAAAGAGAACATGGGCAGAGGTACTGGGATTGGAACATTGACACCCACCTAAACCAAAAATAAGCTGCCATTAATCACAGGAAGTAGTGGGTTGCAGAGCACTCTCCAGAAGCTACTGTATTTTGTTTCCTTAAATCTGAGGCTGGGTACTGTTGGTCGAGTAGTCAGTGATTAGTCACTACAGCTGGATGGCTACCTGCTGTAAATGGTGAGTGCTAATAGCAACAATTCTAGCTGTAACATACCTGACCCACATCTACTAAGTGAGAATATTTCCGAGCTGTGGCTCCATTGGTGGTGAAGATTGCAGTTCCATTACCATAGGGGTTACTGTTCACTATCTCAATGGCATCATCCAAAGTGTCTGCTTCCAGAACCACTAAGACAGGCCCAAAGATCTCTTCCTTGTAGCAAGTCATGTTTGGCTGCCAAGACAAACAGCAGAAAAAGCAGCTTGTATATAGGTTATAATAAAAATATCCTAGGAAATAGGATATAATAAACACTAATGCTGCTAATGCTCATGATATTCCTAGGATCACCCATCATACTGCACTGCCACAGGCCATACTTCAGTCCTCCGTGCCTTTTCACCATTTCCCATGCCCTGCCATCTATCTAGCCACTAAAGAAGGTACCACTTCTCACCTCCAGAGCACCTTCTGCTTTTACTGCCTGCCTAGCCTCACTGGTCTACTCTGACCAAGGCTGATTAAGACCAGGATTAATTCAGGATAGCTTACTTCTCTTTGTGTTGACACAGTGACTAGAACCTGCTATCCTTTCCAATTCAGTGTCTAGGATTTATGCCTGATAATTAGCAACATCTGACAAATAGAAGAACACCAGCTGGAAAGTACTTTAATCACTAACAGCTAATACAGCAAACTACAAAATATTCATCTGACAAGTTGTAAGTTTTATGTGGCTTACCATATTGTTAACCACTGTATAAGAAAACTAAGAATCACAAAATCTCAGTGAAACTTTTACTTTTGAATACCTAACAATCTTCATGACACATCACAGGAAGTGAAGTATTTTAATATGTTCGATGAAAAAAAGACAAGAAAATTCTGAGATAGATTAAAAGCCTCAATAGCATAAAATCAATAAAATCCTAAGAACACAAATAGCAGAACTATCAAGACTGGTTTGCTATCACGGAATCAGTCACCCAAATACCCATCAAGAATTGAATACTTAAATATTAAGGAAATCATACCAGCTAACTGCATAAATATAAAAGAATTAATTTAGGTATGAAAACACGTGGAGTTTTGCTAAAGAATATTCCCCCATAGCAGTGTCCGCCTGTTGTACACCAAGCATTATATTGAGAGGCTGACTCAATGAAGTTGTGAATATATTCAACAACAAAGAGATTTTGTACCTCATCCTGGATTGCTCTCATGAAGATTTCCACAAATATTTACCTTTTGTTTCTGCAAGTCCTTAAACGGCAAACTGCAGGAATGTGTAACAGAGGAAGGAAAATTGCAAGTTTGGCTTTTCATCATTCTCTTCCTTAGGCATCTGCTGCTGGCCACTACTACAGATAGTACATGATGCTTGATGGACATTTAGTTTAACACATTATAAACTGCCCATATCTTTTAATTGTCTGCATTCTGTTCAAGTTAAGATCATCAACCTGATTCAGAGAATGTTTCATGACTGCAAATTCTTTTATCACCTCCACAACAGCATTACAATGAGCACTTCATTGGAATTGTGCAAGGGAAAGCAGAGCTCTCTACCTGGTGATTATCGATTACTGACTGATCTGGGTAACCCATTTTTCAATTGGCCCTGCAACACACTGGTTTTGGTCACCTTACCTTGACATGGGCAAGGACCGTTGGTCCAACGAAATTGCCACTTTCATAGCCCTTCACTTTGATATTACGTCCGTCCAGAAGAAGGCTGGCACCTTCTTTCACTCCTGTCTCAATCAGATGGCAAACCCGCTCCTTAGCTTGGGGACTGATTAGAGGCCCTAGATCTGCTCCAGGCTGGTCTCCTGTGAAGAGGCAGAGACACCAAGTTTTTAACCCTGACAGCTTCCTCTTCATAGGCATCATGGAGATCACTACACTGGCAGGAAAAATCTGAAAATCCTGATGTTTGAGACACAGAACAAAGAATTGAGACATTAACGAACAGGAGTGATAGCCTGCAGCTCCCATAATCAACAAATAAGATTAAGCGTAAACATAATTTTACATCACCAGGAAGCCAAAATTCAACAACAGATTCTTCTCAGAAGGAAACTTTTCCCCTTTGCAGGACTTTATTGAACAATCACAAAAGATAATTCTCCCAGAATTATTAACAGTCTAGTTTTTCCCAAGTACTTGTTTCCATTTTTCCTTTTTAATTGCATGCTTGCTACCAATTGGAAGGATCCCTAACTGATGTTGCT